ATGATAACAAACCACTCAGTTGGAAGGATAATCAATTTAAGGCATTACAATTTTTACTTTAAAAGTTATAACAGTTACGGTCTCTGGTTAGAATCGATATTGAATCATAGAACGTGTCAATACTTTCATGGGCCTTTTGCTTTCGATTCCTAGTCAGCTCCTCGATGTCTACATCGTCTTTCTCCGTCCGGAATTTTACCCGTAAAGCCTCGCATAGCCTACTCCGACGGACTTATGATGAAGTCAGTAGAAGACTTGCATTCGTGCACAGTACTGGGAAGTTCCCCTCGAGTGTCAGGTGGGTCAGAGCCTCCACTCGGTATATAAAATTATCGACGGACACCCCTACACCCGAGAACTTGATCTTCCAGCCGTTTACTATGTGCACTACTCTATCGGGCCTCTGCGAAAGCTCCACAGAACCACTTCGTTGTGGCAATGGATTGCCTCCATCCAGTAATACCTGACCGAAACTACGACTAGGTCAGGCTTCCGACCTTTCATTCGGGGTCGGTTCTACCGTGGGAGTAGGTGAGCGGCTGGCTACTGTAGTCGGCGCCGGCCCGGTGCCCCCTAGCCCCGCCCCCGGGAAGTAGTCACTGGTATTCAGATGGTTGGTCACACAAGCGATGTGAACCTCTTGACACAGCAAGCACGTAATATTTACGCTTCCTACCGCCTGAGCGGATTCCCTGTCGGGCGACCGATCCAATCCCATTCCTGCATAATGTGTTGCCAACTTGCAATCACGAACTTACTACTCCTCAATGTTATATCCGTCAATAATCCGTTCTCATTTTCTACTTCTATACGTTATCAAGCAACAACGCCCAACAATCTTTCCGAAAAAAATAAAAATTACCAGAACTATATCTGAACTCTATGTCTACTCCATCTGAACTCAATGCCTTTCGTTCTTCCAAACCGTAGAGCACTACACATTTGTCGATCTCTCCCTTGAAGCGAAGTCTGGGTCAATCTGACTCCTTCAGACTTCTTCACCATGCGAAACATTCCACTTGAGAGGACGTGTTAATACGTACCACGGTCGATACGGACAGACATCTAAATCTCCTAGCTTATCTGTTTACCAGCTACCGACGATACGCACTATCGCTTCCCAAGGATACTCAAACCAAGAATCGCCTCTCCGCAGCCGTGGCTAAAGAACCACTCGAGTGTTAAGCCTCTATTTTCCAAGCCGTTGCATCGAAACTCAATCTGATCTGGTAGTGAAGATGAACGGGCGACGCAGCATTTCCAACAGGATCAGGTGGTCGACTATCGTCGAGCGCATCCTGCCTTCCAATGCCGGAATCTACTTTTCTTCGCTTGTTCATTTAGGAAAAATTCTACTATAACCCCTTAGACTGCGGTTAACAGGGAATATAACATTCACTTCAGCTATACTCGGACAGTTTCTAAGGGCCTACGGATAGAATTTTGTTGAAAGAGGAAAAAGCCGAAAATAAAACGAGAAGGAACGTGTGAGTCGCTCTGGGGACGCGTACTTATACCCGTACTCAGTCAGTATATATATTTTTCAGCTTATGATTTTGTAGAATTTTAACATTAAAAAAATGAACGAGGCAGAGTGTGCGAGCGAGAAAGAGAATGAGTAGCGGGTCTCTTGCTGAAGGAGGCGGGGGGAAGCAACTGAAAATACATACATACAGACAATCTGGTAGATATGGTCATTCTCTACGATACTGCGTTTTTAGTTTTATCGTATCTTTAAAATTGTGCCTGCCACAGATTTTCGTCCCTTGTGATAGCGGAACTACACTTGTAGCAGTGTGGTATCACATGAGTCTGGAAACCAAATTTGGTTGGCTCTAGCGCTTATAGTCTCTGAGATCTAGGCGCTCATCAAGACAGACAGACAGACATGGCTATATTGACTCGGCTATTGATGCTGATCAGATTCGGCAATCTGGTAGGATATGGTCATTCTCTACGATACTGCGTTTTCAGTTTTCGTATCTTTAAAATTGTGCCTGCCACAGATTTTCCTTTGCGAAATTTTGAAATACACTTGTAGCAGTGTGATATCTCATGAGTCTGGAAACCAAATTTGGTTGCTCTAGCTTTTATAGTCTCTGAGATCTAGGCACTCAACAAGACGGACGGACGGACGGACGGACAGACAGACATGGCTATATCGACTCGGCTATTGATGCTGATCAAGAATATATATACTTTATGGGGTCGGAAACGTTTCCTTCTCTGGGTTACACACATCCACTTTTACCACAAATCTAATATACCCCTTAACTCTTTTTGAGTATGGGTATAAAAATTATCTAAAAATATCAGCAGATATTACCACTGTACGAAAATGCTTAAAACATAATAAATTGAGTGCCCGCAGTACGCGAAAAGTTCCACTTTTGTCGGGAAAGCATGTGTCAAAACGAATGCAGTATGCAAAACAGCACCTGAATTGGCCCAAAGAAAATGGAGGAACATTATGTGGTCCGACGAGAGCAAATGGTTTTGTTTGGTGGAAAAAGGCTTCGATCCCATGTAAGAAGACCACCTAATACAAAATACAAGCCCCGATTCACATTTAAAACGAGTAAACATGGAGGAACAAGCATCATGGTATGTGCATGTTTTTCATCCTATGGAACGGGTCCAATATATTGGATCAAGTCGATAATGGATCAAAGTATCTATGTTGATATTCTGGAAAAAGTAATGCTGCCTTATGCAGAATTTAAAATGCCGTTGTTTTGGGTCTTTCAGCAAGACAACGACGCAAAACATGTGACGACCAGCGAAAGCGTCACAAATACATTACATTTATTGCATTTATTACATTCATAACCCAAAATTTCCGTTACACCAGTTACTTATATATAAGAGAACACCAATGAAGACTTAATTAATTAAACATAGAATAAACAACAAAAAACACAGATCCCCCGAATTTTAAATCTACGCGCCAACAATGGGACCAGCAACCCTAACAAACGGCCACACTCCAACCACCCCCCGGGCCCTCCGGTAGTTAATAGCAAATCACGGAAAGAAGCAAGCCGGTTGCCACACTCCAACATTCAAATCCACGCGCGAACAGTTTGCCCAGCCCTCAGAACTAAACGGTCACACTAGCAGCTGATCGTGACAACGCGCTAGTGCCAAAGAAGGGAGCCCACAGCTGATCTTTGGCAATAAAAGCAGCCATTCCAGAGCCATCAGCACCATTACATTCTTGGACTGCCAAGGGCTAATTCGCTCCCCAAGGCTTTTGGTAAGCATTGATTGCTGTGGTTAGAATGCATTGATCATCGTGTTAGAGCGTACGATTCCTCTACACAGTAATCTTTGCTGTTTTCTTCTGATTCCTCGTCGGAGTGCATTTTCCTCCGTCTTTCCCCTTCCTACTCGGAGCGCATTATCCTCCGCAACGCCTTCTCTCTCGGAGCGCATTATCCTCCGCACCACATCTCTCTCGGAGCGTACCATCCTACGCCGACCCCGTGTTGCCCCCCTGGAGCGCATTTGCCTCCACGACCGATCTTCACCAGCAACCGTATCCGATCCAGGTTCGTCCTGCACGCTTCGAGTAGCCACCCCGAAGGAAGACCTCGAGACCGAGCCAGTGATCCTCCGGGGAAACCACATTTAACTCTGGAGTGGCCTGCTCAGTCGCCAGATTTGAGCCCGATCGAAAATTATTGGGCTGATGTTAAGAAAGAGGTTGCTAAATCGAAACCAAAGAATAACCAAGCTCTTTGGGAAACCATGGTTTCTCTGCCGCTACTTCAGCAGGGCAGAATAACGAAACCACACGAAGTCTTTACGCTGTACGTGTGCCGACTGCTCTGCCCGAAATTTTTTCCTATGCACAGTGCATATGACGCTGCCGGCCTCTGATCTAAAAAGATTAAAGGTCTCCTTCAAACCGATTGCGAGATATCGGGCTTTAAAGTCCAACTTCATGCTTTGCGCAGTTCAGTTTATTTGTAAGTGCATATTCTCTTTACACATTAAATTTGTAAGAGTTGTGAGGAATTATATCCTCACACGCATGGACCCTAAGGGGTTAAGGTCTGTCCGGGTGTCTGGATAACGGCGAATTGCCGGGGAGGGTCTCGCTCAAGGGAGGGGCAACGGAGAGAGAGCCGCGATCGGAGGGCGCTACCAGGGAGAGTAAAGGAGCGCGGAAGAGAGGCGGGATAATGGGAATCGGGCCGGCAGTGGTCCAGCGCATGACCTTTTATGGACATGCGATCACGCCACCAGCGGGGTCCCGTTGCGAAGCAAGTGGAAGGCAGAAGAGAGGCGGGATAGTTAGATCGGGCCGGCAGTGGTCCAGCGCATGACCATTTATGGCCATGCGATCACGCCACCGGTTGGGTCCCGTTACGAAGCAGGTGGAGAGCATCAGACGAGCCGATGGAAAATACCGCCGACGACTGGAGGAAAGTCCCGTTGTTGCCAGGCAGCAACGATGCGGCCGTGCGCTAAGAAGGAAATAAAAGGAGGCGCGCGACAGCGGCTCGAGAGAGTCAAGTGCGGAGAGTGCAAGTACGTGTGACGGCGAATATCGAGGAAAGTCAGAAAGTTATCCAAAAAGCGTCAAGAGAAAGGACCTGGTGTACCGCTCGCTCAACGAAAGGATCCAGTGAGAGCGAACGTGGATCATGTACAAAGAAGCCAACCAAGTCTTTCTGCTTTGTCCCCGGGCAAATTCGTTGCAGCGAACCCACCGGCCGCCAAGTACGCCAAGCGCACACAAGGCGGACAAACCGGTTCGTTACAACTGGCGCCCAACGTGGGGCCTGGTGACAAAGTAAGATCGATTTAGGGAGGGGCAAAGGAGAAAGAGAGACTCAGAATAATGAGAGAGAGCGAAGTGAGAGGCTCAGGCAAAGCCCCGTTAGGCGGAACGATGGACACGGACCCCAGGAATATAAAAAGGGGAGCGCGTTCGTCAATCGGCTCTTTTTGCACACGTGTCAAATAAAAAAAGGAAAAAAGAAAAGGTTAAGATGAGGCAGCACATGGCGAGATATTTGGCGGAGCAACGGAGCTTGATGCGACGGGGATATTATGCCTCGTTGTCCCGGAGCCAGCGACGAGCGAATCGGCTCTCGCGTGATGGCGAAGGGCAACGGAGGGAGGCGTCCCCTGAGCTGCAGCTCCTTGCGTCCCCGCTGATCTCATCGGAAGGGTCAGTGGGAGCCACAGGGTCGCCGTTGGTGTCTCGGCCGCGGCCGGGGCTCGCGGCGGCGCCCGCGCCGGGGCGGGAGCCGAGGAGAGCGGGTCGCGGAGGGGCGGGCGGATCGCGCTAGAGGCATCAAAGGAGGCGCTGCGGCAGCGGCAGGTCTGGGAGGACGCGCAGGCGGGGAAACTGGCGGAAGGCCACGCAGGAGGCGGAGCAAGCGGCCGAGGAGGCCAAGGAAAGGGCCCGGCGGGAGGCGGAGGAGCACCACCGGACGTGTGTGCTGAAGAGGTTTGCGTCCAAATTGCGAGAGAAGGAGCGGCAGAGGGCCGAGGAGAAGAGCCGTGAGGAAGAGGCAAGGCGGGGTGCAGAGGAGGAGGAGGGTCTGTGGCAGCCTTCCGCTCCGACGCCGGAGCCCGAGAGCCGAGGCCAGGTAACTCCGGAAGAAGAAGAGTGGCAGGAGCGACTACGCCGGGCGGAAGAGGAGGAGGAGGGCCTGTGACAGCCTTCCCCTACGACACCAGAGCCCGAAAACCGTGGCCAGGCCACGCCGGACGAGGAGGAGGAGGAGCTGTGGCAGCGACGGCCGCGGACCGAGGAAGAGCCTAGGTTCCCCGAAGGAGGACAGGGGCCCCAAGCCTCGTCACAGCAACAGCAACACAGCAGGCGGCGGGAGCAACGGCGAGCGGCCGGCGGCCAGCAGGAGGGAGTCGGCGGCGGCAGCGGAGCCAGCAGTGGAACCAGCAACGCCGGAACGCGCGGAGTCGTCGGCGGCAGGCGGAGCCCAGAGCGGACCAGCAACGGCGAGCGCGGCGGCAGAGTCGGCAGCGGAACCAGCAACGGCGAGCGCGGCGGCAGAGTCGGCGGTGGCAGCGGACACGGCAGCGGAGCCAGCCGCGAGCGCGGCGGCAGAGTCGGCGGCGGCAGCGGAACCAGCGACAGCGAACTCGGCAGCGGCGGGAGTAAGCTCACCTGAGCCCTGGGAGCGGGGTCCGTGGCAGTGGCCCGCGCCGGAAGCCAGGCGCACAAATCCGAGGCCGGAGCGGCAGTTGTCGTGTCCGGCGGAGCGGGAGAGACCGCGGGCGCCCATGCAGCGCCAGGCGTCGTGGCCACAGGCACAGCTAGAGGCGGAGGGCCCACGCTGGCAGCCCGTGAGACGGGAGGAGTGGCCAGGGGCGGTGGAGCGCGTCCTGGCTCGAACGAGGTTCACCTCGAGGCGCATCAAGCGGCGGGTGAGTGACGGTGTCCCGGGACCACCAGGAGGTGTTCCGAGAAGCTGGGGCTCAGTAAGAATGTAATAAAGAACAGATTGAAAGAAAACAAACAGAAAACAGTCTATCCGGGTTGTCCGGATAACCGGAAAACGGCGAATTGCCTGGGAGAGTCTCGCTCAAGGGAGTGGCAACGGAGAGAGAGCCGCGATCGGAGGGCGCTACCAGGGAGAGTAAAGGAGCGCGGAAGAGAGGCGGGATAATGGAATCGGGCCGGCAGTGGTCCAGCGCATGACCTTTTATGGACATGCGATCACGCCACCAGCGGGGTCCCGTTGCGAAGCAAGTGGAAGGCAGAAGAGAGGCGGGATAGTTAGATCGGGCCGGCAGTGGTCCAGCGCATGACCATTTATGGCCATGCGATCACGCCACCGGTTGGGTCCCGTTACGAAGCAGGTGGAGAGCATCAGACGAGCCGATGGAAAATACCGCCGACGACTGGAGGAAAGTCCCGTTGTTGCCAGGCAGCAACGATGCGGCCGTGCGCTAAGAAGGAAATAAAAGGAGGCGCGCGACAGCGGCTCGAGAGAGTCAAGTGCGGAGAGTGCAAGTACGTGTGACGGCGAATATCGAGGAAAGTCAGAAAGTTATCCAAAAAGCGTCAAGAGAAAGGACCTGGTGTACCGCTCGCTCAACGAAAGGATCCAGTGAGAGCGAACGTGTCGTGTGCGAACTGAGTACGGCGGACTTGGGCCTAACGCTAGGAGTCGTTGTCGTACCAGTTCTCAGAGCCGACAGTGTCACGCTTGGGGATTCCGAGGAACGGCGAGTGGGCGAGAAGGACCGAACGTGACAGTGATCATAGTGCTAAACCAAAGAATAGGCTAAGTTGTCGTCCTTAAGCGTACTTCCTAAGATACCAATAAAGAACTCGTGTATAAAGAGGCCAACCAAGTCTTTCTGCTTTGTCCCCCGGGCAACACCCAAATTCGTTGCAGCGAACCCACCGGCCGCTGAGTACGCCAAGCGCACACAAGGCGGACAAACCGGTTCGTTACAGAGTACATCTTCGATTTCACTCTTATCGCAAAACTGTTGCTGCACAAACTAATAACCTTATAATAAATGAAAGAGAGCTAGCAAATATCTAGTGCCTGTAAAATTTAGATTTGCTTTTGAGCGATGTTCTAATGTCACGTAACGCCAGAAAAATACCATTTAGTCTTTTTGTGTCTGCGCTATTGATTGTGACGACTCACAATTTTGGTATGTTATAAGTAGTTATAATTGGTAGGTTTAAGTACTGAGCAGGGACACCGTGAGGATTTATTATGAAGTTTTTGTTATATATGGCTAAGTTTTCACTAGGGAATTATCTTGTTTTGTATTTTTATTAAGCATTTAGGAGAGTAATTATGAAGTCTTGGGTTATATTATTAAGTTTATAATTTTCCATTATTATTTTCTAAGTTATATTGTAAGATGAAATTCTGAAGTCATAATTTAAGTTCGCGGCCCACGGTAGCCAGCAGCAGAGCAGAGCAGAGAAATCCAGAAAACAGAGCAGCAGAGCAGAGCAGAGAGATCCAGAAACAGAGCAGCAGAGCAGAGCGAGCAGAGAACCAGCAGCAGAACAGAGAGAGCGATGACGCGAGCAGAGAGCCAGCAGCCGAACAGAGAGAGCGCGATCGCCAGGCAGAGCTCGACTCAGGAGTTAGTTTTTGGCAACCAAGCGGACAAGTCGCGATCGCGGCGAAAAAGGTCCCAAGTCAGTGGGCAGAGACGCACGAGGATCACAACGAGGACAAGGCGCCGGGCGAGGAGTCACCCAGAACCATAAGCTCTAGAGGATCGGGTAAGCGAGGCTGCCAGTAATTTAACAATTTATTAGCTGCCTGCATTCCCAAGTCAGGTGCAATTGGCGTTCATAATTGCTCGTCATACCTCTTTTCAGGTTTTTATTTTTTGAGACGAGTGTGTCTGTAATCTAGTCATGAATTTAAGACATTTGTATTGGCTTTTGTTGTATTTATTTATTATTCATAGTAATATTTGTAATGGTTTTTAATAAAGATATAGTACAAAATGTAAGTGTTTGATTATAGTAATTAAAATTTTTTTATTTATAAGAAAAAATGAGGGGTAGGTTTGCAGTTCAGCTGCAACAAAGTCATAGTCAAAATCAAAATCCAGCGACCTCTATCGCTGTTGGCGGGCGAAATGGCGTCGAGCCATGTCGACCTTAGCCTGCTGGAACTTAGGGCACCCCTTGTAGGCGCTTATGTGCTGGCCTGCCGGGGGGGTATCCCTTGGTTTTCTGCAAGTTTTGGTGCAGTGCTGTCCAGCACATTTCATGCAGACGTATGGGCGGATGCAATAGGCGTGCGTATGACCATATGACTGGCACTGGTGGCATTGAGCTGGCGTAAGAGACTTATAATGCTTGCTGACCATGACTTTTCTGTCGTCAATCCGTGTCATTCCAAGGATTTCTTGTTGGTAACGATTTGAGTCAGGGGACAGCACTAACTCAAAGGTTTTAACCGGGTGTGGGCCACTCAGGTCGTGAATTGGGGATAAATCGCTACTGTATATCACGGTGTGATCTTTCTCCGCGAATCCCCTCCTGATCCAGTCATTATTGACTTCATTCAAAGAGCTTTTTATGCAAATGACTTGGACCAGTACTTGGACTTGGACTTGGATCCCCTTTTCACGGCTTAGTCTGGTGCGAATAGGCAGGGACGTAGGAAATACAATTTCGACGCTAAAACAGGAATAAAAGAAACAAAACTAAAACAATGTGTTCGTGTGTAACAGGGTAAATTTCACCCTTTCCCCCTCCCAAAGTGCAAGCCGGTAAGTGTGGTCGCCCACCGTTGGAGGCACCGCTGGGCTGGTCGCAGGACATTACCGCGCCAGACCGCGGGCTCCTAAACGGCGCGTGCCTGTCTCCGGAACAGGTGCTTCCTAGGGGGGCACGAGTCGGAGGGGGGCGGCTACACTGCCAGAAGGCGCCTCCGCTAACCACCGGATGACTGGTGTCGATCAGGTTCCCTTTTCGCCCATACGCCCACCTTTCCACACACGGCGTCTCCATCTCCGCAATCTCGGGTCCCGGCACTTTACAAATTTCTTTTTAAGGTGGCCCTGGAGAGGCTGAGCTTACCTCAGCCTTCGAAAAGACTACCTTACAACAAAATACGATTCGGCTGCATCACGAAACTGCTTCATTGACGAAAACTGAATTGCGGCAATACTATTTTGCAATTCTCGATGCTGTATACCTGATCTAACATATCTTATAACAGCTGCTTCACTAAGCTTGTACCGCACGCCAAGGGCGGACATCCGGAAACAGTACTCCTTTACTGTCTTCTTTGATCGTCTGGTTGCATTGGCCATATTGAAGTAAGCTTCGGCCTCATCTGGGTTAGAGCCAAACTCGTCTCTTATAGCTGCAGCGAATTCACTCCATGTGGTGCGTAGAACCGGCGAAGAGTCCAGCCACATCTGAGCGGGACCCTTAAGCCGCGTATAAATAGCGAGCAAAAGAAACTTCTCGTCCCATTGGTAAGCCTCAACTACCTTGTTGACACGATGGATGAACTGGTCTACGGAGATGGCGTTATCGTCGCTGGGGTCATAGTCCGGCAAGGTATTTGCTATTTCCTTGACCGACACTTGCCTTACGTAATTGGTAGTCTGCCTACCTTCGGTATTTTCTTCTCTAATCTGCTGCTGCTGGTTTGTTGTTGCTGCTGCCGCTTGTGCTGTTGCTTCCGCGTTTTGTCGTTGCACGATGACCAACTGAACCATCATATTCTTCAGCTCCGTCATTTCATTTTGCATGTGTGAAATTGCCGCCTTATGTGACGTCAGCGTCTCCTCCTCATGTTGACTTATGTTTCCAGCTGCTTGTGGCATCTCTACGTCTTCGGTTTTCTCAAACTCAATTAGTCGTTGTACTAATTCGGCTCTGGAACCCGAAACTGCCAAATTCCGCTCTCTTAACAGGAACCGTAACTGGTCCACCTTAAGATCCGCAATTTTGACCATTTTCGCTGTTTGGTCGTCCCTCTTTTCATCTGCTTTTAACTTGCACGCACAATCAATTTCGTTAGCATGTGTGCAAGCGAGACAACTGATATGACTGTATTTCACAACGTTGGGCTTCAACTTGTGAATTTCAAAACGACGCTACATATACACACAAGCCTTTTGTATGTATTAATGTATATCGACAGGCTCACACAGATTCCTGAAGCAATTTCTTGAGACTCTTTCTGTCCAGGTTCACTAAGATTCCTGATCGCTGAACGTTGAATCCGTCTGCCACGTAGAAAAGGAACACATCCGTAATCTGCAATTTTCTTTGTCACACAGACCTTAGGGAACACATCCCATTGCAAACTTCCCACGCCGATGATTCTTGCCGCTTTTCTTGAGTTTCTCTTAAAACTTTTTCGCTCTACACATAAAAACTCTACTAATCCCACTTCTGAACTGTGAAGGGATGGCTTTTGAGTAGTATAGTAGTGTTCATTGGATATAATAAGTTGAACAATATATGAAGACTGAATTAATTGACAAAAGGTTTTCTTGAATGTGTGCTATCTTGTTCGCTTCGACTTCTTAAGTAAGTATCGCCTCTGTTGTTATCGATGGCTATGAGTCTATCGTGCGTATAACAGCCCACATAGAGTTGACCGCTTCTGTTGACTAACAGCTTTTCACACTTCTAATTTTTTTGACCAATGGAAACGAATGCATCGAAATAATCAGCACGTGGAAAAGCCCCCAGCAAGGGGCTTATAATTAGAGCACTAGTCACTAGGTGTCACATTAGTTTGGGATTAAACTTAGATCTAAATTAATCTTTTAATATGACATACTAATTAGTGGTTACATATATTGATTTGTTTTCTTATGCTAATGTTCGTGTTATTTTATTTTAAATTGAATTTGATTTTTAAATCTTAGTCTAGTGTAAGGTGGGCACCTAACTGTGTTTTGAATTGTGAAAGGTTTTGTATTGTTTTCATGTGATGTGGAAGATGATTCCATATGCGAATAACATTCACAAAGAAATGTCTCTCAGAGTTTAGTGTTCAATATCGTATGGTGATAATATTGTTCGTTCTTGCGGAATTGGTAAATCTTAATTTTTCATACAGATATTGGGGTTGTCTGGTGAGGATTATTTTATGTAGGAACGTAAGCATCTTATAGTCAATCCATTTGAAAAGAGTCATGTCGAAAATTGTATATGAGAATGCAGAGATTCTGTCGCTGCGCCTTAATCTAAATATATATCTACCTATATTATTAAAGCACACGCTCAACTTTTGCCTGTTTTCGTAGCCACAGTTTCCAAATGCCTCAATCCTATAAGTGAGTACAGGTACTAGGTATGCTTTTACTATCTGCATCCGGATGCTAACTGGTATAAATTGCTTGGTAATATTAAGTGCCCTTAAGATCCCATATGTTTTTCCAACTGCTTTGCTCACATGATCATCCCACGACAGAGTACTATTTATTATAAAGCCTAAATTAGTTGTCTTCTCTATGTAGCTAATGGGAGTGTTTGATATTTCTACACGTCTCAATATAGTTTCATTTATTATACCCGTACTCAAAAAAGAGTTAAGGGGTATATTAGATTTGTGGTAAAAATGGATGTGTGCAACGCAGAGAAGGAAACGTTTCCGACCCCATAAAGTATATATATTCTTGATCAGCATCAATAGACGAGTCGATATAGCCATGTCCGTCTGTCCGTCCGTCTGTCCGTCCATCCGTCCGTCTTGATGAGCGCCTGGATCTCAGAGACTATCAAAGCTAGAGCAA